ACGCCGGCGGAGAGGGGCAGAGGCGGGAGCGAGGCGAGGGGGGAGGGAAGCGAGACGGGGAGAATAAACCGATACGGAGATACCACATCCATGCGAAAGCCGACAGGCCAACAACTCTCGGAGGGGGCCTCTCACGTAGGGGTGCTGGAGGAAGACGGCTGGAATGCACCGAGAACAGGTCGCAAGGCTGCCGACATTCCGAAATTTGCAACAGCGTGAGGACCGGGGGAGAAGACGTCGCGGCTCGCGAGGCGCACAATTTCGGAGCCGCCGCGTTCGCTTTAATCGCACAACTTTTCGTCCTCGAGATACGCGAAATCACGACCTGTCCGGGCGGAAATGTGAAATCGCCCAGAGCTATAAGACCGCCATTAAATTGTCGATTTAGTCGTACGGCAAGACTGCCGATTCCACTCGCGGCGCAAGTAAGAACGTGAGGAAAACGTGGAAATCAGTCATCATGCGAGAAAAAAATCTCGCGACTTAGGACTGTGTTAATAGTCGTCACTTGAAACTCGTCTCATGTGAGTACGCGGATTTTTGTTCGAAGTTGAATCCAAATTTTGCAATTGAATTATACGATATATGTGACATCATATCCCTGTAATCGCGCGATTCAACTGGAAAACTTTCATGTAATTCTGAATTCAAATCTGAATATATCATTTGAGAAGAATGTCAAGTAACGACTATATATGGATCTTAGAGGCCTTCAAACCGTACCTTCTAATCTTATTCCACTCTATCTAATCTTCCATTCCAATCTCCGAAACATGTGCACAGAGAGAATGTTGCAGTTCTCTTTTTTCCTCAATCAAATTTTTTTTAATTTTGCTATGTTTCTACACTGAGAGACAAAATATCTAAGAAATATAAAGCATTGAAAACAAATAATATATTTTGCCTTATACTTATAAAATATATTTTGAATAAGAAAATCTATTTTCTTAAAATGTTAGCTTTTCATAAAAGTAATTGTTTATTACATTTAAATAAAGTATTTTAGCTTCAACAAATATCTCATTAGTACCCACTGGATAAATATTTTTTTATTTTTTTAGATATATATTTTCTTTCATCATCGAGCCATTTAGCGACCTCAAGATGGACAAAAAATTCGCGAGTCGATTAATTTACGAGAAAAAAATTTCCAAACTTTCGCGCTTAAATCTCTCCATTGTTCCAATATCCGTGTATTAATTTCGCGAGCTCACGTGCATGTCATAAAAATTCGCCAAGGCATGTTAAGTCAGTTCTTACGGGAGAAATGTGTAAAAACAGCTATGTAACACTTCCTCGCAGATATATTAAGCGGATAGGATCGCGGAGAAGGGATAAAGTCGCGGAGGACATAATTTCGCGTAAATGACGATCCATGGTATCATTGTAACTTCAGTTAAAGGATAGCACAATTAACCACGACAATTAATGAAGCATTAAAACGAACGGTAAAGTGGCGACCGGGTATAAAGAGGCGATGCGTGACGTGCAATGAAAAAAAATGCGCATTTACAAAGTGACAACGATTCCGCTACCACGAAACGGAATTTTCCTCCATTTCTCTTCGGTACCGTACTCCCAGTAGCGCGCGAATTGATTTTTAAAGCTTTTATCCTCGCCCCTGTCTTCGCCTCTCTCTCTCTCTCTCTCTCTCTCTTTCTCTCTCTATCTCTCTGTCCTTCTCTTTCTTTCCACTTCTGTCCCTGCTTCTCTTTCTTTCCTCTCGGAATTTTTACGGACCCGTTTAGTCATCGTCAAAGACGTTGGCCGTAAATAAAAATCATACGAGACGAAAAAAGCAGAACTATAAAGATTCCATTCTCGTTCTGATGCTCGCTGGACGCACCGGAAGCTATATTTATATCCACGATCGTGATGACGCGGCGGTATCTCGCACGCAATCGCAAATTGAAGGAACGAGACCACCGTTCGCGTATTGTTGTTCTATCTCTTACGGTTAAATCAAACATCTAAGCCTCTCTTAAAGCGGGACCTCCCTCCCCCTCCTTCCTTCTCTTTCTCGTTTTAAGAGAGACAAGACGCGTGTTACAGCAGAGTCTAAATGTATGTTCGCTGAAATTGTCCGACATTTCCAAGCTTGACACGTATCCCATTCGTCTCGTACGATTTTACGTTCACGACGTTCATAAAAAAAAAAAGACCAACTAGGGTCGTCGACTTTTTATACGTGTCTAAATTTATATGCAACGATGCCAAGGAAAGGTTGCTCCGAAATTTTCTTTTACACCCGAGCAATCTCTTTTAACGCGCCGGATTTTATAATACGCTCGCTTCTCAAGACGTGCCCTTAAACTGCCGAGTAATTGTCGCTCGTTACATGCGCGTGATTATCTGTCGTAAAAAAAGGAGAGAGGGAGAGAGAGAGAGAGAGAGAGAGAGAAAGAAAAATAAAACTCGCGCGTATACGGACGCGAAGTCGGAGGCTGACTAAACATCAAGTTGCTGCGAACAGAGAGTGAGAGAGGAGCGGAAAGGAAGAGAGAGAAGGAAAACGAAAACAAAAATAACACGCGGCAGGTAGTAAACTACGCAGAGCGGCGGACTCCTCGCGTAATTTGCAAACGATAATATCCGTCCGTGTAATATATCGTACTTAGAGTATACCGTATTTAATGGGTCGTACGGAGCATATCGTATGTCTCGCGCCGGAAGTTGGACGAAATCCCGACGGTGCGATCCTTACGATTCGTCCGAAATTCGACCGTTTCACGCGGATTTTCGCAGTCGTTGGAACGCAGTTCCGCTCGAGACTTTACGTACACGGCAATACACCTCCCGCGAATTACGTAATAATTTCCACGTGACTCTCGCCGCGAGAATAGTATCTCATGCGACCGCCGCGACTCGCGCTACGTCGATCGAGTATAAACTCTCATTCTTACTTTATACGCCACCGGTTACGATCTGGAAAAGGCACGGAGCGATCGCGTTGGACGAAGTTAATGAACCGCGACTCCATCGGTGCAACCGAGCCGGAAGATCGGTTGTCGCGTTCGCCGGTTGAAGGACAAAACGCGAGGAAGAACAAACGGAACACGTCGCGATTGCTCGCGAACGATCGCGAGACGACGGCCGCGCCGGATCTTACATAACGTTCTCCGCATCCTGACATCGGGATCTTCGTACTTTGCCCCGCTCGTCCCCAGTCGCAAGAAGGAATTCGAGGGCGAGGAAGGAGGAGACGTCGGTTACCCGTTGAATCAGACGCTTGGCTACGAGAGAGAGAGAGAGAGAGAGAGAGAGAGAGAGAGAGAGAGAGAGAGAGAGAGAGAGAGAGAGAGAGAGAGAGAGAGAGAGAGAGAGAGAGAGAGAGAGAGAGAGAGAGAGAGAGAGAGAGAGAGAGAGAGAGAGAGAGAGAGAGAGAGAGAGAGAGAGAGAGAGAGAGAGAGAGAGAGAGAGAGAGAGAGAGAGAGAGAGAGAGAGAGAGAGAGAGAGAGAGAGAGAGAGAGAGAGAGAGAGAGAGAAGCGCAGGGATAAAGAGGACGAGAGAAGCATTTATTATTGTCCTAAGGCGAGTCCTCTGAGGGCTAAAGAACACGCATACCGAGGCATAAAACGATACGCGAAAGTGGAATACAAGGTATAAGATACGTAAACTAACAAAATGTTTCATTATGACGAAAAGAATGTAAAGCAGCAGAAAGAGAGAGAGAAGCGGAGGGATAAACAGGACGAGAGCGTTTATTATTGTCCTAAGGCAAGTCCTCTGAGGGCTAAAAACACGCATACCGAGGCATAAAACGATATGCGAAAGTGGAATACAAGGTATGAGATACGTAAACTAACAAAATATTTTATTATAACGAAGAGAATGTAAAGCAGGAGAAAATATGCAGACAAATAGAGTATTATATCGAGTCTGACTCGATTCTCCTTGAAAAGGTAAACAGCAATCGCCCAGATTAACTTTCATAATTCATCACGATGTGAGATCATTGATGATGAAAACTTTACAATTCTTTTAATTACATTTACGAAATAAATATATCGTATATATTGAATTAATTATTAAATTTACATCAAAAAGTTATATAAATTTTTTGTTGTATTGACGAAAATTTATTAAAAGTTACATTTAGATTTTGATACCACGTTTATTGACATATTGTTTAGAGCAAATTTTCATCATTTTTCGTATTTCTATTACGTTCTGTGATAAATATGCGTGCAATCTAGTCACAAAGAACGCGACATTGCTGAATTTCGTGATTTAATATGCTTAAAGTTGTATAGAAAGTTGCTATAGAATTTATGTACGAGTACATCAGTCTACTCGAGCAATTAAAATGTCACTGAAATGTTACAAAAAACAAAATCGGAGAAAATATGAAGCAAAAAGAGTACGAGATGTTGTGTTGTAATAATAAACAGTATAAAAATTTCTCATCATTTCTTATAATAAAATTTCTCTGAAAAAATTCATTGACTATCAGGTCAACGCAAAAAATTCCTCATTTTTGCTTTCTTAATTGATATCTTTGGTCTTGATAATAACAAATATTAAGAGTACAGTTATTGTTATTGCTCTAAATTGAGAATTGGAGAACATTCTCGTAAAGAAGATATATAAATAGAAAACATATCTCGTGCATAGAAAACATATCGAAAACCAACGGTAACTGTTTCGATCTGTAAAACTTCGTCAAGATCATAGTTTTAATATTTTTCACCGGTTAATTAACAACAGCCCGACTAAAAGTCTCGACTTGGTTCTCAACTTTGACAAATACGTGCCTCTCGCGTCGACCTGATACTCGATAACTACAACTACATGTGCATGCTTACGTAAGTCAGAAGGAGACGGAGGAAGACGTAAAAGAGAAAGAGTGAGGTACGGGGAGCAAGAGAAGGTGGTGGAGGAGGAGAAGGGAGGAGGGAGAAAGCAAGAGCGCGGTAGCGAAAGAGGAGGAGCCGAAAAGAGCGAGGAAGAAGGTTACGCGGAGAAAGAAGATAGAAGGAGTCCATCAAGCAAAACTCACCCTGTTGCATTCCAGAGCCTCAGCGCTGTGCTCCTCCTTCTGCTTGAAGCAGCTGCTGCACTTGCTCTTGTTGAATATGTTCGGCGCGAACTTCCTGCACTCGGCGCCGGTGCCACGGACGCCCGCCGTGCCACCCGACATCGCGACACGTGCGAATTAACTGCGACGGTCGGACAGCATCGCCTGCTTTCTTCCTCGTTCTGTCTCTGTCTCACTCACTCACTCACTCACTAACTCCGGCTCACTAGCGACGGTCCGGATTTTGCCGTTTCCCGTCGCGGCTACGACTCGGCCACGGTCGTCGTCGTCGTTGAAAGAACTGTCCTCTCCCTCCCACGGGAAATGCGCGAATGTCACTCTTGCACAAGCGCGAAACAACAATTGCTCGGCCGTCTCGACGGAAGTCTCGTCGCGAAGGATCACGAGAGCGAGAACCGGTCGTTGACGCGAACCGTGCTTTTCTCCGAGACGGAGATTCAGCCGGCTCAGATTCGCCTCGGCTCGAGTGTGCCAGTCCGCACGGGATCGGGAATCGTCTGCGAACGTCTTCTGTGCGAACGCGATCTCGCCAGTGAGACGAAACGAAACGGTCGTGCGTTGATAACGCACGCGACGTAGCGGGAACGAACGCTTCCTTACGGGATCGCGAATACCGGTCGTTGACGTCGATCGCGCGCCGGTGATCTGTCGACAAATTCGCCGCCAGCTGTTCTATCTCTCACTCTCCGCACGCGGACGGCGATCGTGAACGTCACTCGACTGCGGCAGAGTTCCGCGAACCGACTCCAAAATCGCTGGCCGGCTCGCCACTGCGGTACGCGTCGTAACTCGTCCTTGCCAGAAGCGTAAACACACAACACACGCGCGCCGAATTCCACGCTCGAGATTTTCACGAGGCGCGACTCCGAAAGTCACGCAGCGACTGACGACCGCCCTTCACTTCTCCGGAAGAATACGTGTTTACCGTCCTTCACCTTCAGAACACCTTTCGGCCGGCCCGCTCACCCTTTCTCATTCCTTCTCTCTCCCTCCCTCCCTCGTGCGGAATTTCGGCACGCGCGTTACGCGATCACGATTCACGAGCAAAGGAGCGCAGCACGGCGCGACGCGTATACATAACCGTGCGTGGCGTGGAAGTACACACCTCCTCCTCGTCGACTGTCAGTGCGAACCGGCCGAAACACTCGCTTCTTCGCCCCACTCGTACGCGAATGAGCGAGCGTGCGCGCGAACGCGTTCATACACACACACACACGCGCGCGTTCTCTCCCGTGTGGTGTGTATCCCCCTTCGATCGACTCGGCGCGGCCACGACCTCGCCTCTCCGCTCCGCTGCCGACACTGCCCAGGTGGAGCACGTGGATTTACGCCGTCACTCGCCCGGACCTTCTGCTCGCGTTGCCCCGCGTCGAGTGTCACGCGGAAGTTGATCGTCCTCTCACCGCAGATTCGGTGACATGTCACCGATTTCGCGCGCACGTCTCACGTACAATTCTGTCTCTCACGGCGCACACGCAATACACATGCGCGCACATCGACACATCGTCATATATCATACACACACACACACATACACACACACACCTGTGTGTGCACCCGATCGCGAGATTGACGAGCGGTAATCTCGATAACGGAGCACTCTGCGAATCACGCCGGAGCAGCAGCGTTCGCGGGCGGCTCTGGGTCGTCAACTGTCACTGTGGCCGACTGTCAAAGCACCGAGCTGTCATTATTGTCAGAGCACGCCTGTCACCGCGACGAGACGCGGCGCACGATCTGTTGTGAGGAGGAGCCGCGCGCGCAAATAGCCGCGATTCGAAACGCGACAGTGTGTGCGCTTATTCACTCTCGTTTCGTTCAGCCTGCGAATGTCACACTGTAGCGGGCGCGTAATCCCGAAGCCCGGCGCGAGGGATACGCATGGGACGACACACGGAGACGGGGGGCACCGACACGGCGGATGCAATTGACGGGCGTACTTACGACGGCACGGCGCGTCGCGCTGCCCACGATAGTACTCTCGCGCGGACGTCCATCTGCGATCTGGCCTCGTTCGACTCTATCTGCGCGCCGCCGGGCAGCGCCGCTCTCGCCCGGCCGGCCGCGCCACGCACGCGCAGTGAGCCCCTACGCGCCCGCGAAGTAGTGCCGCCGCTCGGCGGCACGCGGAGCCGCCCGAATCGCTCCGAGCGCGTACGAAGCTACGCGCGCCTATTTCTCGCCGGAACTTTCGAGACCGGCCGCTGAAATTCAGAAATAAATGCCGAATTAATTAGCGCGTCGGGAATTGGCCGTTCTACTTATTTGCAGTTGCACCTCTCGTGCGTTGCTCGTCTATTTTTTCTACCTGTAAAAATTATACGTCTACGCTCGTCGATCACCGTATATATTTTACTTGAGAAACAGAAAGCGCAAGAGAGTACTGCTGAAACGGGCAGGCCTGTACGTGCTCGTTTACTGTTGCAAAAATGAATATCTCGCCTCCGATTTTCGGACGGTAATACCTTCAATGATTTATGATTAAGGTCTGGTTGCACTAACTAAGTGGTGAGCCAATGGTCAAACATGCGTCTGTCTTCGTTTGTTTTTCACGAGATTTACATCCACGGTCCGAAATCGCGGTAAAATACGGAACGGCTCCTCAACTCCGCGCACCACCGTGTAACGGCCGATAGCCATATTGGCTGTCAATTGAGATATTGAGATATTTGAAGCGCGCAACTTCAACTTGTACCGCAGATGTCAGGAGGTGCCGATTCTCGCCTGTGATTCGACGATACCTCGTCATGAAGACGAAGACGCGAAACTTACTTTCGGAAAGACAAAGATAGACATATGATTTAACCGTTAACTCCCATTCGGTCGATGCAACCGAGCTTCAAAGATTTACGTATTCAAAGTTTATGTATTAGAATAATCGAGTATTCGAGAGAGAACGAGGCTCAAAATCCACTGCGTGGATTGATATCCCTAGTGCCTCTTGGCATCGCGCGAACTCAAAATGCAATCTCGTAAATTTATACCCGACATCAAGATACACGTATATATACTCACAGATCCGTGAGAGTTTGATTAGCTGAGTCAAAGTGGCTTAAAGCTACCAGATGCTCCTACTTCTCTTATAACCACTGATTTATGTGTGCTTACCAACTTTTCCCTCCGGCAGCTCGGAAGCAGAACACAGCCATCAGAAGCCCGAATTGTCCTGATGCGACACAAACGAACGACGCTGCACACGGCACTCAGACCGGCCCCGTTCTCGCGACGTTCACTCTCGACGGCCACTTTGTCACGGCGACACACGAAATTGGCTGTCGACACTCGGGGTGATAACTCGCCGGCGAGATTCACGTCCATGGCCCGAAAAATTGCGATAAAACACGGGACGGCTTTCGACTCCGTGCACCGCCGTGCAACGGTCGACAGCCATATTGGCTGCCGATTGAGATATTGAGATATTTCAAACGCACAAATTTCAATTTGTACTGCAGATGTCGCACTCGCGAAGCGCCAATCCTCGCCCATGACGCGACGATATCTCGTCACGAAACGAAGACGCGCAACTTATTTTCGCTATTATCGGCGATGATCTACGCGTTCTTTCAACAGGTCAATCTCAAAGAATCTCAAAGAACAACGATTCGATCTCCAAACGACCACGAACGCGCGACACTTGTTTCGGCACTCTCGGCGGTCGTCCCGCGACATGTACGTTTCCGACGATTGTTGAGCGGCGTTTTGTCAGGACATGACGCGAACGTTATTTCCGGCAACTCCCGACGATTCGGCCGCGAGACTTACCTTCGGCGAAGAGTAATCGCAGAAGATGGTATCTCGACTCTGTACTGGCTACGTCGCTATTTGTTTTGCAACTGACCGAACGTAATAGTTGAAATCCTAGAAATGGCGAATCGACCAATCACAACGATCCATTCAGGGGCTGAGTACAATAAAAGGAACAAGGAATAGGGAATCGAGAATAAAGAACAGGAAATAGAGAATAAAGAACAGTTCAATATTAAAACATAAAACTTAATTCATCAACGCAGGATAGAGGAATAGAGGAATAACATTATTTCTTGTTTTCAGTATTCCTTATTCCTTATTTTCTGTTCCTTATTCCTTTTATTATGCTCAGTCTCTTAGTTATCAAACTTGCGCGACGTTTAATCCTAGCCTGGTGGTCAATTCACGTATATGTGACGATAAAGCACGAAATTAATGAATCACAAGGCCTATTTCTTCAACTGTTCTGTAATTCACCGTGCCGTGATTTTTCTCTTTTAAACATTAACACTATTGACTATTTTACTATGCAACTTAAATATTCGTAAGATTAACCAACGTAAAAGATTAGCCAACGCGAGAGTAATTTCACAATATATTATTACTCAAATGTTAATAATACTGATACTGAAGAAAGGAGCAGTGCTCATATTATGTGCCTACAAATACACAGAAATATCGAAAATTCACATACCAGTGATATTCATTGCGATGCAGGTTGGCGGGTACTTTGCTGACATGGTGCTGCCATCTAATGCATGTTTCAGCAACTTCGATGTATCCTACTTTAACCATATGCTTCCACACATTTATATAACACTTATGCCTCTATTATTAGCTCCAATATGCTTATTATTATGTCCTTCGTGCTCTAAACAAATCAAATGCTTTATGTTTGATTGACAAACTTGCGAAATACAATTATAGAAAAATCGCAAACGCATTATCTGTCGATACACTGCGCTCTATTATTAATTTCTCTTGAGAAATTTGTTCAACAAGTCGAACACAGAGAACAATTTGGTGAACGTGCACAAAGTTGTATGACAAGTTATTAACAACTTGATGCTCTCATTATTTCGGGAGATTGTCCCTGTATGCAGTTTTCATGATTACGACAATTCGGGACGTCGTCCCACTTTTAGAATTTCGGCACTTCCCTTTTCGGGATTGTATGTCCACTAATGATTTGGCATCGGAATCCGGTTTGAGAAAGTAATAATACATTTCACCTGTCATTCCCGACGATGATTTACAGGCGACTCATGTCGAAATGAAAATGACCTGAACTCTGAACTGCTGCGTAATCGACGAACGTATGACGCTGCACTTCCGACATACCTCCTTGCGACATGTTTGCTTTTCAGCGGCGACAGAAACATGCCAAACGCATTCTCGGTATTCTCGACGTTAACATCGCGATCGCGAAACTCACTTTCGGCAAGCTGAGATCCAGACAGGCAGAGATTTGAACTTCGAACGCGCTTTCTAAACGCGCCGGATAATTCACTACTCGAGTCATGTCAGCAACGAGTAGCGCTGCTGAACGCGCGCGTATATATCAGCTGATTTTTACGTCCGGTTCGACAAGTCATGCTTTTTCTTCCGGTCCGTTTAGACCGTCGTTTCAGTATCTGCGGGATCGACGGTGAAGATGGTAGATGAAGCTGGTGACAGGTTCGTAGATTAAATTATCTTCCGCTTTGTAGCCGAGATTTGGCGTCTCTCGGTGACGATGATGTCGCCAGGACACGTCGTTGCGACACGGTTCCCCTCGCTGCCAGAGGAAGATTAACCTCAAAACGCGGCGATGCCGCGTATGACGGATTAATCTAACGCGACATTCGCCGTCGCGCTCGTCCAACCATGAATATTTCAGCGAGCAATAAATGCTCACGTTTCAAAGCAACAGAGTGATCTCACGATCCGGGAATACGGCATTCCCGGTCAGGACGGTTCGCAGCTCACTAAGCGGCTTGTTAGCGGCTTCTCGTATCGGTTACTGTTACTTTCACCGCTGTTCTTTCACAACCGTTAACACATACCTTTCTCTTTCTCTCGCTATGCATTATTGTAATATTTAATTGTCGATGCCGTTGCAAAACAACCGTTGTTTCGTCCGCGATCTCGCCGGTTTTACGCGAAACGTATGTTCAAAACAAATTTACATTGATCAGCTCTTTGTAATCAATGTCTTACATAACACACAAAAGAACAAGAAATCCCGGAGAGAATCCCGATTTCCGCTATTGTTTACTATAGGAAACTCGACGTGTGTGTGTAATAGTTCTTTAATCGTATACTTCTCCAATGATAATTGAAAATAAAGTTAACCTTATCACACACACAAGGTGGATTTAGTTCTCTTTCATTCAGGAAATTTTGCAGCTGTAGATGATAACCTTCACTGTGTGCTGATATGAATTACATAAACT